ACTCCTCTGATGCTGCCTGGCCTGCTGTGTTCCTCCAGCTCCACACTTATCTCTGACTCCAGCATCGGCAGTTCTTACTTTCTTACTTCACACCTGCTTCATTTTTCAAAACAATTTAAAACTGTGCCCTCTGGCTCTCATCCATTTACAATTTATAATGGTTTTCCCCAGAGGAACCGAGTGGACAGGGAAAACCACAGCAGTCCATGTGCTGTGGGTTGACCCACGATGCCCTTGGGAGGGGATTCCAGGATTTTGACCCAGTGACAGTGAAGGAACGGTGATATAATCTCCAAGTCAGGATGGTGAGTGGCTTAGAGGGGAACTTGCAGGTGGTGATGTTCCTATATATCTGCTGCCGTCCACTCAGTTCAAAGGGGAGCAGAACAAAAGGGGGAACAATTAGTGGAAGGGGTACAGATAGGTCTTCATGATGCCACAGATATGACTAAAGGATGGTCTGTTGTCTTCCTGAGGCCAGGGTCAAAGATGTCATTAAATGGCTGCAGGACTTTCTGAAGAGGTAAGGGGAACAATCAACTATTTTGGTTCACATTGGGACATAGGCAGAAAGAGGAATGAGGTCCTAAAACAAGAACTTAGGGAGCTACGTAGCATCTTAAAATAGATTAAAGTGTCATATGCTAATGAGTATAGGAATAAATGGACAGAATAGGTGGATAGAAAAGATGAATGCTTGGCTGAAGAGTTAGAGCAGGGGGTGGGGTGGCTTTAGATTCCTGGATCACTAGGGAAGTTGAAATCTCCTATTATTTCCTGTTTCTGGAGAAAGTGTGACCCTTACAAGTCTGACAGATTGTACCTGAACTGGAACAGAATCGTTGTGGAGAGCTTTGGGGTTGGTGCGGGTTTGAACTAATTTACCAGGGAAATAGGACACAGAGTGGAGATATAGGAGGCAATGCACAGACAAGTATAGAATGACCGAGTCAGCCAGGAAGATGGTGTGAATATGTTCAAGTTACAGCACAAGGGAGCATGGCAAGACTGGATGGCGTTTATTTTATATCAGTAACAGCGGAGTTGAGGGTATTGATTAACACATGGGGATGTAATCTCATAACTATCATGGATACACAGTTGAGGGAAAGATAGGGCTGACAGTTCAATATCCCATGGCATAGAATCTTTAGTTGAGGGGGGGGTTGGGTGATGTAAAAGAAGAGGTGGTGTTGCACTACTGTTCAGGGAGTCAATTATTGTAGTAAGTGTGTACGATACAAGTAGGAACAGAAGCAGGTCATTCAACCATCAAGTCTGCCATTCAATGAGATCATGGTTGTATCTTAGAAGGTTCCTCAAATGACGGCATATAGGTAGAACTTGCAATAAAAAAAAGCTCAATAGATGTACAATAGATCCATAGTCAGGAAGAGATAGAAAAACAGATGTAATGGCAAACTTCAGAAAATGAAGAAAAATAATAGGGTGATACTAGTAGGGGATTTCAACTACCAGAGATAAATAAGGTGTGAAAGGCTGGGACAGGGGTGAAACTGATAACATGCATTCAGTAGAACTTGTTAAGCTATCACGTACAAAGTCTTTCACGGGCAGGTGTGTGTGTCTGTCTGTGTGGTGCTGAACCTAATTTTATGGAATGAAGCCAGGTATATGGTAAATGTGGTAGTGGGGGAGCATTTTAGTGATAGTGACCATAGTTCAGTAAGATTTAAGATAATCATGGATAAGTACAAAGATGTACTGTAAATAAAGGTTCTGAACTGGGGGAAGGCCAAAGTGAACCGGGGGCAGCACATTTAGGAAAATCCACACCAGAGCAATGGAAGACATTCAAAAGGTAAACAGTGAGAGTGCAGAGTCAACATATTCCACAGAACCCTCAGTGTCAAGGGATGAGCCTGAATGGAGGAGGGGGAAATAAACGCAGGTTGTGATGGATACCAAAAGCTCAAAATTGTACACTCCAACAACACAGGGGTTGCTTAAAAAAAAAGGAAATTAGGAGAGGGAAGAAGGGACATGACAAAAGTTCTAGCAGGTAACATTCTGGAAAATCCAAAATATGCTAAGTATATTAGGGGGCAAAGTTTAAACAGGGGGAGAGAGTAAAGCCATTAGGGACCAAAGCAGTAACTTGCATGTGGAATCAGAAGGTATAGCTGTGATTTTAAATGAGTGCTTTGTATTCACTGTGCCACTATGATAGAGACTGCACGAAGTAGGGAAATGTTGCTAGTAGACTAAATTAGGTTTCTCGCTATTCTTCTGATAACGAATATTTATTTCATTCATTCAAGATGCAAAACTAAGCATGTTTGAATTTATTGCAACTTACAAACCTAAATACATTTGTCAATGGAAAAGCTAACTCATGTTTTCAAGAAAGGTAAATGCTACACATTAATTTGTGACATTCCTCACAAAGGCATATTGCACGAACACTCTTAATAAAAGAATACTTTAAAAGTTAATACTGCAGTCAGATTAGGAATATACCTGATAGGTTCACTTGTTGCTTTATCCTTCACAGTTGATGAAAAAGAAGAATGAGATTTATCTTCAAACAAGAATGACAATGGTGGTTTCAGTGGTTCTGCAACAAACAAACAAAATTGAATGAGTACAATCCAAGCAAATTAAAGTGACAGAAAGCATACATGATTCATGACACCTTTTTACCTTCTGGTTTCTGTCGGTCTCTGAGCAAGTATTTATTAGGTATGGTCAAATAACATCTCTGTAAACGTCGCCGCTCTCTATTGGGACCTTCTGTAGGATCCAGTTGCCATGAAGTTGGGTAAGAGACAGGATCATACCATACTGCCCTAGAAATTAAGTTATCAAAACATTATATGTTCAAAGCCAGTTGCACATTATTATACGTTCAAATGTTACACAATCTTTTTCTTTGTTTTACCAGTACTGACAGTACGTTATGATAAGCATAAGTCTGCTATTCAACATCAATGTTACTTCTGATCTCCTGAGAAGATAGTGTATCAGATTGTTCCTAATTAGCACTTTAGCATTTATGGAATATTTGACTTTGCTGTTTTGTGTGTTGTTCCTAGCTAAACTTATATTATATCCTGTAAAGCATGAGGATAGAGATATAGACAGAAATTTAATAGAACATTTCACATTCAGGTGCAGAATAGTCACCTATACTTTGCTCTCAGATGTACACATTGTTCACTGAACTCAATAGAGAAAAAACCGAAAGAACTACAGATGCTGTAGATCAGGAACAAAAACAGAAGTTGCTGGAAAATCTCAAAACGAGGAAGGGTCACCGGACCCGAAAGATTAACTCTGATTCTCTTCTTCGCAGATGCTGCCAGACTTGCTGAGCTTTTCCAGTAACTTCTGCTTTTGTTCTTCAATAGAGTACTTGTTTTGTACACAAGGTGGCAATCTATTCCATAAGTTGTCAAGTAGTTCATTCTTAAGTTATATTTTTTCTAAGAAAAAGATAAACCTGCATTTATGTAGTGGCCTGAAAACTCAATACGCTCAATAGCGAATCAAATACTTGTGAAGTGTAATCACTGCTGTAATGTAGGAAACATAGATGCCAGTTTGCAAAGTCTCATACCCGGTAGTATGACAATAACCAAATAATCTATTTTTGTGATATTGGCTGAAGGACAAGTATTGGTTAGGACAATGTGGAAACTTCTCTGTTCTCCTTAAAATCATGCTGGGGATCTTTTATGTCTATTTGATAGAGCAGATAGGACCTTAGATTAATATCCAATTGAAAGACGGCATCTCTGATAGTGCAATGTTCCCTTAACATTTCACAAAAGTTATCAGCTAAATTTTTGGCTCATGGTTCTGGAATGGAACTTGAGTCACTTTCTGACTCGGAGGTGAGAATTCTACCAGAGGAGCCACAGCAATCACTATATTTTTCATTTTTATCCCTTATTCTACACAAATAAGTATTCATTGATATTCCCCCTACTCAATTAAAGTACTTATATTATGAATCTTCACTATTTTTCCAGTTATATCAGTGATTTAACTATTATTGCCTTTATTCGGTGTTCATTGTGCTTCTTTTCAAACCTTTTCTGCTATTGCTGATTTCTTCTGTAATTATTAACCAAACCTACACATGGCTAGAACTATAGGTTCACCAAAAGTTTATAGATTATTAACCCAACATTCCTTGGATATTGCTGTCAGCTTAAGCTCAGTAGTATCACTCCACTCTGAGTCAGTAGGCTGTGGGTTAAGTCTCAATTCAGAGACCTGAGCATATGATGTATGTTGACAGTCCTGGTTCAGTACCAAAGGAATACTGCAATGTCCGAGATGTAATCTTTCAGGTGAGACAGGAGTAGGCTCTGTTTAGAGGTATTCAATAGTCAAGGGAACAGGCTAGTGTTTCTGCAACTGACAATTAAATTCTGGCATGGGACTCTCTCTCTGGTTCCAGGAGAAAGGATATCACTCAGAGCGTGTAGAATATTTTGAAAGGAGGGTGGTGGATGGAGAGGCAAAAGGAGTGGTCCAAGTGGGAACTAACAATTTACAAGTTTCAGCAGCTGAGAGAAAACTCAAAATCAAGACCTCAAACCCAGTGTCATATGCTGATCAGTCCAACACTTGTAAAATAAATGGGTTCATGTGTGACTGAAGAGATATGGATGAGGGGTACTTTGGACTCCCTGGAGCATTGAACCAAGGTCAGTGGGAGGATCCACCTTTCTGAGATGAAAGGGATGTCTCTCAACAGACATGAGGTCAATGTCTTCAGAGGAAGTTTAAACTAATTTGGCAGGGGCAAGACACAACATGAAGCATTAGAGGGGAAAAACAAGATGTAAAAATGGCTAGGGGAAACAATTAGCATCAAATCAAAATATAGTTAAGAAATTAAGAATCTCACAAGGGATAATGGTGAGACATTCAGAGATGGGAATTGAGTTGGTGTGTGTAAATGCATGGAACTTGAAGAACAAGGCATATATCGAAATGTGATACAATAGCAATAACTTTTAAAAAGGGAGGACTGGGAACGAACTTTTCCTGGTATCAAGGTATCTGGCAAAGATTAGTCAAGACTAAAATCAAGTATATTTTAATCAAAGAAACTGTCAAGAGAACTGAAAAGAGATGACATGAGATCATAAACTGGACCTGCTTGGTAAGAATTCACGAATAGACAAGCTCTCACCCCACTCTACATGGATATCATAGACCACCAAATAGTCGGATGGAGGTAGAAAAACAAATTTGCAGGCAAAGGCGAGAATTACAGCATAATGATAATTGGGGGACTTAAATTTTCTTAAAACAGAATGTTTCCAGTTCAACAAGGAATAAAGTTGTGCTGGATTTAGCTCTGGGTAACGAAGTGGAGCAGACAAAGATTAGCAATTATAAAATTGAGTTTAGAATAGTTATGGAAAAGAACAAGGAGCAATACTTTGATGAGCATTCCCATGCAGGGAAAAGGAAGGGCATCCAAAGCCACAGCTTCCTGGATAACTAAAACATAGAAGTAAACATAACAGAAATGAATGAGGCTAATATTAATTGTAAATCTGATAAAACAAGAGAAGAAGCTGAATATTCAAAGCATATGAAGGTGAACTAAACAGAGAAAACAAGAGTGGCAAAGAGACAGCATGAGACAGGATTAGCAGCTACCACTACAGAGAGCTCAAAAGTTTTTTATAAAAACATATACACAGTAAAAATGTAGATAAAAGGAAGTTTGGGTCAATTAGGCATCATTAAGAACAGGTTCTTGCGAAGATTTGTAGCTCGGGTTGTGGGTGAGGTTGTTGACTTGCTTGTCGGGCTGGCTGGTTATAGTTTAGACGTTTCATTACCAAGCTAGGTATCATCATCAGTGCAGCCTCCGATGAAGTGATGTTGTTCTACTCCGCTGAGTATTTATATGATCCGGTCTGTTGAAGTGTTTTGCATCATTGCCGGTCCCTTTTTGTAAGGGTTTGTATATGGGGTCTAATTCCACATGTTTATTGATTGCATTATGGGTAGAGAACCAGGCCTCCAGGAATTCCCGTGTCTCTCTATGGTACGAACACCAGCTAGCAGCAAAACAACACAACGAACTTTCTCTCATTTCAACGAAGGCCAACAAGGGACAACGTGACCATCCTAGCTCATGCTAACCAAAGACATTCACAGGAATGCCTAGAGGCCTGGTTCTCCACCCATAATGCAATTATTAAACACGTGGAATTAGACCCTATATACAAACACTTGCAAAAAAGAACTAGAAATGACACAAAACACCTCAACAGAACGGATCATATAAATACTAAGTGGAGTAGAACAACATCGCTTCATCAGAGGCCGCACTGATGTTACCTAGCATAGTGACAAAACGTCTGAACTATAACCAGCCAGCTCGGCAAGCAAGTCAACAACATCATTAAGAACATCTAATTGTGAAGGCACATAACATATCTGAGGCACTAAATGAGCACGTTGCATCTGTCTTCGTGAACTAGGATGGCACTAGTCATACTAATGGAGGAGATAGAAGAGCCAGAATAAAAATAGATAGAGTCAGAGTCATACAGCACAGAAACAAACCTTTCAGTCCAACCAGTCCATTGCCGACCATAATCCCAAACTAAACTAGTCCCACCTGCCTGTGCTCGGCCCATATCCCTCCTAACATTTCTTATTAATGTACTTATCTAAATGTCTTTTAAACATTGTAACTGTACCCGCATCCACCACTTCTCTGGAAGTTCATTCCACACATGAACCACTCTGCAAAAAAATCTGCCCCTCACGTCATTTTTACATCTTTCTCCTTTCATCTTAAAAATATGCCCCCCAGTCTTGAAATCATCCACTGTACGGAAAAGAAACTTGCCATTCACCTTATCTATATCACTCATGATTTTATAAACCTCTATAACGTCACCTCTCAACCTCCTGCATTCCAGTAAAAAAAAGTCCCAGCTTATCCAGCCTCTCCTCATAACTCAAAACCTCAATTCCCAGCAATATCCTGGTAAACCTCTTCTGAGCCATCTCCAACCTAATAATATCCTTCATATAACAGGTTGACCAGAATTGGTCACAGTACTCCAGAAGAGGCCTCGCCAACATACTTGTAATTGTACAAGTCCTGCCCTTGTTTGTTTTATCAAAATGCAATACCTCACATTTATCTAGATTAAACTCCATCTGCCACTTTCCAGCCCACTGACCCAACTGATCAAGATCTCTTTGCAATCTTAGATAACGTTTATCACTGTACACTATACCACGCCTTCCATACTCTCATCTAAATCATTTATGTTAATGACAAACAAAAGTGGACCCAGCACCGATCCCTGCAGAACACCGCTGGTCACAGGCCTCCAGTCTAAAAAAGAAACCTCCGCCATCAGTCGGTCTCCTGTCGTTAGGCCAATTCTGAATCCAATTGGCAAGCTCATCTTGAATCCGATGTAACCTAACTTTACTAATCAGTATACTATGCAGAACCTTATCAAAGGCTTTACAGAAGTAAACAAAGTCTACAGCTTTACCTTCATCAATGTTCTTGGTTACTTCCTCAAAAAACTCAAATCAAAAAAGAAAAAGATAAAACAGGAGATACTAAAAGGTTAGCAGTACTCAAAATAAACTGGATGGATGGAGAACGGAGGAAGTTGTGATGGCTCTGGCCACAATGCTGCAATTCTTCTTAGACATACAAGTGGTACCAAAGGATTGTAGAATTGCAATTTTTTGTTCATTTGTGGGATGTGAGCATCACTGCCTCAGTCACCATTTACTGCCCAGATTTAAAATAAACAAAGCCCTCTGAATGCCTGCTTATGTCTAAATTTTAAAACAATTTAGATTTATTAATTGTAGTCATTTGACAACTTTGTAAGAAAAGTTGGGGAAAATTTCTCGGGGTATTTCCACTCATCACCAGCGCGCAGTAGGAGTGATGCGCACAATCTACAAGATGTACAGTAGCAACTTATCAATGCTCCTTCAGCAGTATTTTTCATACACACAACCTCCTCCAACTTGAAGGTCAAGGACAATAGATGTACGGGAACACTGCCTTTCAATCACAGAATGATCACAGCATAGAAACAAGCCATTTAGCCCATAGTATCTATGCCAGTTGTTTGGTAGAGCAATTCACCCAATCCCACTCTACTACAACCCTGCACATATTTTGCTTCAAACAATTATCCAATTTTCTTTTGAAGGCTGTAATTGAATCTGTCTCCAATAGACACTCAGGCACAGCATTACAGATCCTAGCCACATGCTGCTAAAAGGTTTCCTTCACGTCGTCATTGTTTTTTGCTGTAATCTGGTTCTTGACCCTTCTGCCAATGGGACCAGTTTCTCTATTTGCTCTTTCCAGACTTCTCAAATTTTGAATACTTCCATCAAATAAAAGCTTTTCCAAGGAGAATAGCCCAAGCTTTTAAAATCTGTGTCCAGATTAAAATTGTTCATCCCTGAAACCATTCTCAAGAATCTCTTCTGCTTGTTTTTCTAAAGCTTTAGAATTGTTCTTAAAGCCTTGTACTCAAAATTGACCACAATATGCTAGTTGAGGTCAAACCAAAGTTTCATACAAGTTCATTATAACTTCCTTGTTTTTATACGCTTTGTCCATATTTTTAAATCCCATGATCCCATATGTTTTATTAAGCATTTTCTTAACCTGCCATGTTACCTTCAATGATTTGTGCACATATAACCAAAGATCCTTCAGCTGCTGCACCCCCTTTTAAAATGGTACCCTTCAATTTATTTAGCATCTCCTCATTCTTCCTGCCAAAGTAAATTGCTTCACATTTCTCTTCATTAAATTTCATTGGCCACTTGTCTGCTCATCCCACCAGCCTGTTCATGCCCTCTTGAAGTTTATCACTATTCTCTTTACAATTCACAATGTTTCCAAATCAAAGTGTCACCTGCAAGTTTTGAAATTGTGCTCGCTACACCAACATCTAGGTCATTAGGATAGAAAAGAAAAACAGAATTTCTAATGTGAACCATTGGGGATCACTACTGTATATACCATATTGCTGTATGACCTTGAAACAGTGTTATATTTCCATGTCAGAATGGTGTGTGACTTGTAGGGGAACTTGCAAGTAATTGCAAATTGAGGAAGATAGAATATTGGTTAGGCTGGATATGCTAAAATTTAACCAGTCATCAGTGCCAGATGAGATAATGAGACGTCCACAAGGATGATGAGGGAAATAAGGGTTGAAATAGCAGAGGCACTGACTATAATTAGGGGATAGCAAGAACTGCAGATGCTGGAATTGGAGTCAGTAGTGTGGAGCTGGAGGAACACAGCAGGTCAGGCAGCATCAGAGGAACATCATATGAACTATAGAGATTCAAGGTCATGGCTTTCATTGCCATCTCAAGGGTAATTAAGGATGGGAAATAAATGTGAGCCTTGCCAGAGATACCCACATTCCAAAAACTGATATAAAGATAAATTTCCAGGTTACAGTACATCAGAATAATTCTGTGGCTCATCTATTGATTACCGTAGCACTATCACTTACAAGCCTGACGAAACTGATTTAGGGCTAACAAAAACGTTAGGGCCTTTCTGCACAATCAAAAAAAATAACAAAATGTTGCTTAACACCCAAACAACAAGTTTCACCTGAAGTAAAGCAAAATTTTTATATTTTTCATTGTACAACTAGTTTCAAAAAGATAATTACTGCTGTTATGGAGGCCTTATAAACGTGTGCACATATGCATGCCCATGCGCGTGTGAAGAAAAAGGGGATAATTTGCAAAAAAGTTAAGAACTCCTTGGCTAAAGCACAGTCATGATTAACTACTTGTTTTTAGATCAGCAGTTAGTATTAAGAGCACTGCTCATTTAGTGATATATTCATGACTTTAGCAGTGGATATATAGGACATAATTGTAAAATCTGCACACGATATAAAACTTAGAATTGTAGTAAACAAAAAGGAGGATAGCAATAAACCTCAAGAGAATGCAGATAAATGGACATACATTTGGGCAGATAAAATTAAAACTTAAAAGGAATGTGAAATAATTTACTTTTGTAGAAAACATGGAGAAGTAAATACGCTGAGTAAAATAATGATAAAAGGGATGCATAAAAAGAGACACTTTGGTACATATACAAAACATTGATGGTTGACAGGACAAGTTGAAAGCATATTAAAAATGCATACAGGATCCTTAGCTTCATAAATAAAGACATTAGAGTAAGAAACAAAGGAGGTTATGCCAAGCTGTTATAGCACAGCAGTTCGGCCCCAGTTTTTGTATCATGTCCAATTCAATTCATGAAGGAATCAGAGGTGATGAGGAAAAATAAATTACACATTGAGTTGCTACAATCTAGAATGCTGGACTTGAGAAGGTGGTGGAAGTAGATTCGGTAGGAACCTTTGAAAGAGAATGGAATAAAACCTGAAGGGAAAAAAATTGCAGGGCTAAGGGGAATTAACTGGGGAGTGATTTCAATAGATCTTCACAGAACATAGGCATATGCCAAAAACTTCTTCCTGTAATTACTTTGGTGAAGAGCAGGGAATTGTCCCAATATCCTGGCCACTATTTATCTCTGAATCAACACAATTAAAAGACTATATGGTGTTTATTTTGTAGCTATATGTGGCAGCTGTGCACCAAGTGGTTGCTGTGCTTCCTTAATACATTGTATTCATAAATATAACTTTGAATAGACTTTAAAAATATTTAATTGACTTCAAAATACTTTGGAATGTTCCAAGATCATAAAAGCACTATATAAACACAGATTGAAGTATTTTTCTTTTTATGTTATTATAATCTCCACTATTTGGCACAACCTTTCTCTCATTTTCTAGTTTTGGGACTCATACTCAGATACAATTCTATGGCTATTACAGGAAGATGCTGAAGGGCTGTCCTCGTACATTTGATGTTATGTGTTGGGAGAACATGTAGATGTTTTCCAGCTGGAGGTGATGGATGGTAATCAAATTCAGGAGCTCCGATTGCTTTCTACCCTTCTAACCAAGAGAATTGAAAGATAATTATAGCACTTGGTTGAAATCACCACAGACTGGAACTTCAAACTGCAACCACTAATTTTTGAATAGCTGAGAGAGAAAATGGCTGCTGTTTTCACAACCTGGGGCATTGGAAGAAGCTTAAAGTGGATTTTTTTTTTATCATTAGTCAACATAATCTCTCAAGTTTTTCACATGGTGCAGTTTATTTAACAGATCCATCACTGTGACCATGGATCATATCTACTGACATTGAAGACTTTCATGCTGGCTGCCAGGCAGAAATAGTGCTGTCAAGATTGACCATATTAATGCCATATTGTTAGTTAATTAGGCATAATCAATGCTTTTAATAATGAATAATTAGGAGATAAATCTAATCCAATTTAGTACAACATTTTCAATTTAGTAAGTCCTGTGCTACCTGTATTTTAAACCTCAAATGGAAATCAGGTGGCTTCCAAGTCAATTTTTGATGTTCTGGAAGTTACAAATGAATGTACCAGCAACAGCATTTTTCACTGTCACTTTTATTTGATTTGATTTGATTTTTTTCAGATGAGGATCAAAGAAAAGACTTCCTTCATAACATGAAACCAAAGCTAGCTACATGGTAAAGCTTTTATCGCATGGTTTTCTAAAGGCACTGAGGGCTTTTCTCCTAGCTCCCATTTTGTGCTTACAGTGATCTGCAGTTTTCTTAAGCAGATTTAAAAGTCCTGTAATCTTAAACTTACTATCTTAGGTATGTTGCAAATGGAAGGAAAATTTAAGTAACCAGTTAGAAAATTAAAGGGTTCCCCACATATATACCCTGTCCCTCCAATAAATGAAATGGGAACAAAATGATTTTTTTCACAAGGCATTCTTTTAATCGTATTTCTGGGGCTTACCTGTCATGTGTTAGCTGCTGAACAAGTTCTTGCCAGTGCCTGCTAGCACTTAAATCCACCTTGTACATTCCCCGGATATGCTGAATCACTTTCTTCCTTTCCATACCCTGATGCAGGGAGATATTCTGAGTGATTTCAGCTGCTATTTTGGAAATATCTTTCGATTTCAAATCAAGTCGTTGGAGGAGACTTTAAAAAGAAGCACAGATAAAGCAGCTTCCAAAACTACATTCAAATGATTAAACATAGCAATAACAGCAATTGCTAAACCTGATGCTTTTTTCATTTATCATTCTTTATTTCATTTATAATTTCTTGGAGTATCAGTCAACAATATAAGCTAATCAACCTAATTCCCTTAATGTGCTTTTCCCTTGACTTCTTAAATTTTCTCCAGGTTTAATGCCCATTTAAACAGCTACTTTGTGACATGTCTTTATTCTACAAACCTTGCTCTTTTTGCTATCACCACTAGTCCTAATTTTATGCCCTCTTGTTAATTTACCACTTGCTACTGATCAGTCTGTAAAACAACATGAAATTTCCCTTAATTCTCAGCTCCTCTGAATACAGCCATAGTTTCCATATTTCATCAGAACTATATGTGCAAACAAACCCAATTTTGCATCTTTTGTATTACACCCAATATCCCTTGTATAATGGGAGGCGTCAAAACCACAATACAGAAATCCAGCTGTGGCTTCATTCTGAGTCATCATTAGAATCATTCCACACTGCACCCTCAGAAATAGAAATACAATGTCTTTTTCTATGTGAAATTCTAATGCTAAAAATCTGTATGTCTGTTTGCCCACTTAACTTTACTATTCCATGTACTTAATTACATTTCCAACAAACCTATTCCCTTCTCTAATCTTCTCCCATGTTGACTAAGCAGAATCATATCCTCCTGCTCTATATGACTATGGGTTGTTGTCCCAATATGCATCTCAGCCATTGTTACTTTACCTCTGTTGAGAAGTTGCCATTTTCTTCTCCCAAGCAGCTTTATTTGCACTTTTCTCATTTGCATATTTGGCTTGCTCCTAAAGGACATAAATATGTATTATTCACATTCGAATTTGCTTTGCTTATTTCAAATTTATTTAATTAAAACTAAACAGCAAAATTGAAATTATAACATTTATAGTCTACATACGCAAATTCAAGGCTTTCCTATCTGCATCATACACCACATTTGGAGATATGAAGCTAACTTTAAAATCAAACCAAATGAAGAGTCAGATAGGACAACATTTACATTCAATATGTAAAGTAAATTTAATTTCAGAATTAAATGCCTGACTTTGTACTGAAGACTTGTGCTCCAGAACTTGCTGTTCCCCTAGCCAGCTGTCCCAGTACACTTACCACACTGACACCTTCCCGACAATGTGGAAAATTGAGTAGCTATGTCCTGTACATGAAACCAGGACAAATCTAACTCAGCCAATTACTGCCTCATTAGTCTACTCGCGATCATCAGTAAAGCGACAGAAGGTGTCACCAACAGTGCTATCAAGTAGCACCTGCTCAGCTATAATCTGCTCAGTATTGCCAAGTTTGGGTTCCACCCCGAGGTCCACTTAGCTCCTGATCTCTTTACAGCCTTGGTTCAAACAGAGACAAAAGAGCTGAATTCCAGAGGTGAGGTGAGAGTGATAGCCCGTGACATCAAGGTTACATTTGACCAAGTGCAGCATCAAGGAACCCTTGTGAAACTGGAATCAATGGATATCGGGGGTAAAGCTGTCTCCTGGTGGAGTCATACCTGGTATATAGGAAGATGGTTGCTGCAGGTTAGTCATCTTATTTCAAGGACATCTCTTCAGCAGTTCCTCAGGGTAATGTCCTAGGCCCAGCCATCTTCAGCTGTTTCAATGACCTTCCCTCCATCATAAGATCAGAAGTGGGGATATTTGCTGATGATTGCGCAATGTTCAGCACTATTCATGACTCCTCAGATACCGAAGCAGTCCATGTTCAGATGCAACAAGACTGAATAATATCCAGCCTTGGGCTGACAAGTGGCAAGTAACATTCTTTCCGCACATGTACCAGGCAATAACCACTTCCAATAACGCCCCCTAGACATTCAATGGTGTTACCATCACTGAATCCCCCACTTTCAATATCCTGGGGGTTATCATTGACCAATAACTCAAATGACTTGCTACATCAACACAGTGACTACAACAGCCGGTCAGAGGCAAGGAATAGGCAGTGAGTTACTTACCGCCTGACTCCCCAAAGCCTGTCCACCATCTACAAAGCATGAGCCAGGAGTGTAATGAAATACTCCCCAGTTGTCTGGATGGGTGCTGCTTCAATAACACTTAAGTAGCTTTACACCATCCAGGATAAAGCATCCACTCCCTCCACCACCAATGCTCAGTGGCAGCAGAGTGTGTGTATATATTATCTACAAAATGCATTGCAGAAATTCACCAAAGATCCCTTAACGGCATTTTCCAAACCCATGGCTACTTCCATCTAGAATGGCAAGGGCAGCAGATACATGGGAATATCATCACCTACAAGAGCCCTTCCAAGCCACTCATCATCTCAACTTAGAAATAAATCACTGTTCCTTCTCTGTCGCTGTGTAAAATTCCTGCAATTCCCTCCCTAAGGGCATTCAGACGCGGACTGCAGCAGTTCAAGAGGCAGCTCACCACCACCTTTTCAAGGGCAATTAGGGACAGGCAATAGATGCTGGCCATTTAGAGATGCCCATGAGTGAATTTTCTCTCCCCGTCTTAAGGTATTGATTCTTTCTTGAGGTGAGGCTCGTCTCTGGTACGTCATCCAAGTTTTCCCATTAAAGAGGAGCACTGGACAGTCATTTGACAATAAGATCCAACTCAATTAAGATTAATCCAATTTTTTTGTGAAACAAAAATGAACAATAAGAGAAGTTGCTGCAGAAACTCACTAGATCTGGCAGCATCTGTGAAGAGAAAACAAAGTCAACATTTCAAATTCAGTGCTTCTGAAGAAGGGTCACTAGAATTGAAATGTTAACTGTTTCCTTTTCATAGATGCTACTAAACCTGCTGAGTTTCTCCAGCAATTCCTGATTTTGATTTAATCTTTATCTGATGTCCACACAGGTATTCTTTCCGAAAAGCATAATTGCACACCCCCATACTTACTTTGTCAGCAAAGTAGGTCTTGGTAACGGAAGATGGCTGCAGTGGAGCCACTGGAAGTAGAGAACTGTGAGCATATGCTGAGAATCAGGATGGCCCCATCAACGTATAATTCGTGGAATGATGCCCACCTCTCGGGTCTATCTAAACAACCTTTCTTAGCCACATTTCTGGTCTATGGCACCTTCTAGCTTTGTGATTAGAAGATTAAGTCTAGTGCTATTTGTTGTGGTGCGTTGGCTCACCGAACTGGTTCGTTGTTCCGCAGATGTTTCATTACCCTGCTGGGTAACATCATCAGTGCAGCCTCCGATGAAGCGGTGGTTTTTTCCCGCCAGTTATTTAAACTCTGGTGTCCGCTGAGCTGGGATACCTCACTTCCGGTTTTCCTTCGCAATGGAGTGTATACGGGGTCTAGCTCTATGTGTTTACTGATGGCTTTCTTAGTGGAGTACCAGGCTTCTAGGAAGTCCCGTGCTTGTCTCTGCTTCGCCTGTCACAGGATCCTTGTATTGTTTATTGATAATGTATTGTTTGTCGCAGTCCTTGCAGGGAATCTTGTATATGACATTGGCCCTGTCCATAGTGGGTAATGGGTTTTTGGTTTGGTTTAGCAATTGGCATAGGGTTGATGTAGGTTTGTGTGCAACTCTGATGCCCAGTGGTCGTTCCCTGCAAGGACTGCGACAAACATTACGTTGGACAGAGAGGAAGGAAATTAGCCACAAGAGTACACAAACATCAACTGGCAACAAAAAGACACGACCAATACTCACTCATCTCCATCCACATGGATAAGGAAAACCACCAATTCAATTGGGACAACACCAGGATCCTGGGACAAGCGAAGCAGAGACAAGCACAGGAATTCCTAGAAGCCTGGTTCTCCACTAAGAAAGCAACTGATAAACACAGAGCTAGACCCCGTGTACACTCCATTGCAAAGGAAAACCGGAAGTGAGGTAACCCAGTTTAATGGACACCAGAGTTTAAATAACAGGCAAGAAAACACCACAGCACTTCACTGGAGGCTGCACTGATGGTGTTACCCAGCAGGGTAATGAAACATCTGCAGAACAACGAACCAGCTCAGCGAGCCAGCCAACCACGACATCCACAACCTGAGCTACAAATCTACTCTAAAACCTCGAGTGCTACTTGATTTTAAGCCACTTTTTCCATTTGGCAGTTGCAAACCCAGAGAATTGTTGTAAAGAGGAAACAGGCTACAATCTCTCTAAGTGGACTAGTTTTATGTTCAGCAGTCGTTGCATGAATCTGATTACTAGAGTAGATCTCTGCAAACACAGAACAAACTGTAAACATATTGTACAGTTGGAATGGGCAGAAAACTGAAGACAGGAAAAGCAAAGGATTGTGAATCGGACAAAACCCACCAGGCCTATTTCAGTGCTGCCAGAGTCCAAAAAAGATGTTAAAGGGAGGGGAACCTCTGGGGATTCTGTGCCAATAGGACTGTAGTGACTGAAGTGAGAAAAGGCTTACAGATATATGCCTTGGCAATGGTAATTTTGTGGCCTCTGAATGGAATACAGATACTGATAAATGAAATTTAGGGCCAAACATTTAAAATGAGAAGTGAAAGATCCTACAAAATAAAAGTCATGTTGGAAAGACTACGAAAACCCCAGTTCCACAATTGTGGAAAGTAATGAGTAATTCTGTAACTACATAAGCATTATTGTATCAAATTTTTAAAATGTACCATTTCATTTGAAATATTCTTGCATGTTAATGTTTTACTGATTTCCATTGATTTGTTACAGTAAAAGTTTTAAAAAGTAAAACACTGCCCAGAATTTCTTTTCTCCCAATGGCTTTGTGGGATTATTTCCTTGTTAAAAAGTTTATTGGTGTCTACAGGAGTTCTAACATATAGTATAGCTTAAAGAAAACATTTCTTCAGTTCTGTTTACATACTGTCACCATACCTCTTCAATGGCTTTAATGAGATCTGGTTTGGGTGGAGCAGTAAGCGGAATACACTTATAACCACAAAGCTTTAAAGAGTTGAAGAAGTTCCCTGCTGCAGTTTGCTGTTCCTTGGTCAAGTCCTCCATGTGGTCATGCATCAATTCGTACAGGTACAGTGCCAGCTTGGGACCGTGCTGTGGGTAAACACAATCGATAGATTCACCATTTAAAGCTACTTGAAATGAGCTGCTTCATCTGATCACAAAAGATTCTTTAAAGTTTTCTGTTAACGTGATTAAACAATGTTCAAATATTAATGTAGAGAAGCTGCATTAAAGAATATAAGCATTTAAAGTTTTGGCAAAGATCTGTAGCACGGGTTGTGGGTGAGGTTGTTGACTTGCTCGCGGAGCTGGCTTGTTCTCATTCAGACGTTTCATCACCATGCTAGGGGACATCATTGGAGCTTCCTATGAAGCGATGTTATTCTATGCCGCTTGGAATTTACACTGTCTGGTCCGTTATGATGAGTATTGTCATTTCCGGTTTTGATCTGTATGGGTTTGTATATGGGGTCCAATTCTATATGTTTGTTGATTGCATCATGGGTGGAGAGCCATGCCTCTCGGAATTCCCGTGTGTGTCTATGTTTTGCTACTATGGTTACCTTGTCCCAGTTGAGCTGATGGCCTTCATTGTCTGAGTGTACTGATATTAAGGAGAGCTCGTCGTGCTGTTTTGCTGTGAGTTGACATTTGTATTTTCCGATGGCTAGTTTCCTTCCCGTCAGTCCGATGTAATGTTTGTGGCAGTCGTTGCATGGTATTTTGTAAATTACATTGGTTCTGCATGTTTTGGGAATGGGGTCTTTAATCTTTGCAAGTGTTTGTTGTAGAGTGGCTGTGGTCTTGTGGGCTACCATGATTCCTAGTGGTCTTAGGAGTCTTGTTGTCAGTTCCGATATGTTTTTGATGTAGGGCAGTGTGGCCAGTGTGTTAGGGCGTACTGTGTCCTCCTGTTGTTGTCTGTTTAGTAGGCATCTGTGGATGAAGTTGTGGTGATATTGTTTATGGCAAGGATTTTGTATAGGTACTCTTCCTCTTTCCTGTGTAGTTCTGCAGGGTTGCAGTGAGGTGTGACCCATTTAAAACAATGTCCTAATACAGCTTTGTCTGTGGACGTTGGGGTGGTTGCTGTGGAAGTTGAGGATTTGATCAGTGTGGGTTGCTTTTCTATAGACTGAGGTTTGGAAATCCCCATTGGTCATACACTCAACTTTAACATGCAGAAACACAAGTTGACTGTGGTTTTCTTCTTCCCTTGTGAATTTAATCCCTGTGAATACGCTCTTGATGAGATGGTGGGTCTCTCCTAATTTGTTGCATTTAATAACGAAAAATGTGTCATCTACGTACCGGATCCACAGTTTAGGTTGAATGTGGGGGAGGGTGGTGTGTTCTTGTCTTTGCATGATTGCTCCTACAATGAGTGCTGAAATGGGTGACCCCATTGGTGTACTGTTGATCCGTTTGTATACTTGACCATTAAAGACAAAGTGTGTGGTGAGGCAGAGGTCTAGTAGTTGTTGTCATTGCTGATGGATCTTGTATAGCAGCACCTCGCTATAAACGGATATCCCTGCAACTTCATCCGCAGATGCTTACTAAACAGACAACAGGAGGACACAGTACGCCCTAACACACTGGCCACACTGCCCTACATAAAGAACATATCGGAACTGACAACAAGACTCCTAAGACTACTAGGAGTCACGGTAGCCCACAAGCCCACAGCCACTCTACCACAAACACTTACAAGAATTAAAGACCCCATTCCCACAACATGCAGAACCAACATGGTTTACAAAATACCATGCAACGGCTGCCACAAACATTATAATCAGACAGACAGGAAGGAGACTAGCCATCAGAATATATGAACATCAACTAGCAGCAAAACGGCACGACGAACTCTCCTTAATATCGATACACTCAGACAATGAAAGCCATCAGTTTAACTGGGACAAGGTAACCATAGTAGTCTAACCCAAACATAGACACCCACGGAGATTCCTAGAGGCACAGTTCTCCACCCATACTTCAATCAACAAACATATAGAATTGGACCTCGTATACAAACCCATACAGATCAAAACCGGAAATGACAGTACTCACAATAATGGACCAGACAGTGTAAATTCCAAGCAGAGCAGAATAACATCGCTTCATCAGAGGCTCTACTGATGATGTCACCTAGCAAGGTGATGAAACATCTGAACGAGAATAAGCCAGCTCGGCGAGCAACTCAACAACCTCATAAGCTTTTGTCTTCCGTAACATTGGAATATAGTATAAGTACACAGTCTATTGCCATTTTCTGCACATATCTGTAAGGTTTTCATGGTAGCTGTCTTACCTCCAGAGGTTGACCAAGACATTCTCGTAGAATCTCCTGATGGCTTGGTTCATAAACTATCTCTAAAGCTATCTTCCTTTCTTCTAATGAGCGGGCAGGACACAAAACATGAACAAGCAATCGACCCAACTGGGACCGGAATGTCTCTCTGCAAGACCATAGCATGCGTTTCCATTGCTGCCGTGGGGGTTTATTTCTACCTGGTCCCTAAACCAAGAAGCATACGTCAGTTAATGTTCAAAACAAGGATAAGCTTCAAGGAGCCTGAACTGAAAAACAAGTATTAAGACATTGCAAACTTTGTATAAAAGCAGTTGTGCCTTGAAGGAAATCCAAGCAGTTTGTGTAGTGAATAATGCATGTTCCTTCAACCAAGGTCATAAAACTTTTGGTTTTAACTGCTATGTAGAAGACACATATTTCTCTTTGAGAGCACAGGGTATTTTTACCCCGGTGTTACTGATGTAGAGGAGAAACAGAACTGGGTTGAGTAATCTTTACCTTAGGAATCCTGATGTGAGAGATTCATCAGGGCTCATGTTCGTATCCTTAGAAGAGTTCTACACAGTTCACCAACTCAAGAGGCACACAATACATCAGCTTATCAATAAGATGGGGATGCAATACTCCCAGTAATGCAAGTTTTAAAAAATATTTTTCACAGGATCTTGGTGTCCTTGGGTCGGTGGTGGGGAGTCTCCCCAAGCTTCTGTAGTACATGAAGCAGGTACATCCAGAATGCTTTTGGGAAGCATGTTCCAGAATTTGACCAAGCAACAGTGCAAGAATGACAATATAGTTCCACGTCTGGATGGTGTCACAGGAATTAAACATTGTAGCGTCCCAATGCATCTCTTGCCATTGTTCTTCCAAGTGATTGAGGTTTGAAGGTGCTATCAAAAGGAGTCTTGGTAAGTTCTGGCAATGCAACTTGAAGGTGGACATACAGCTGCCACGGTGGTGGAGGGAGTAAGAGTTCAAGATGGTGGATGGGCTGTTTTGTCCTGATGGTGTCAGGTTTCTCAAATGCTGTTCAGCTGCACTCATCCAGGCAAGTGGAGGGCATGCATCACACTTCTGGCTTATGTTATGCAGCTGGTGTAGATGACAGCCACAGAATTCCCAGCATGAGACCTTCCCTCTTTGTTACATTATTTACATGCTGGTCCAATTTAGTTACTGGTCAATGGTAGCCCTCAGGATGTCCAGTGGAGGATTCAGTAATGGTAACGCCATTAAATGTCAAGGCGATAGTTAACTTTCTCCTGCTGGAGATGGTCAGTGCCTGGCACATACGTGGCTCAAATCATAGATCATAGAATCCCTACATTTGGCCCAACAAGTCCACAACGCCACTCCCAAGAGCATCCCACCCAGACCCATTCCCCTATCCTTGTATTTCCCATGTCTAACCCACCTAACCTAAACATCCCTGGACACTATGGGCAGTTTAACATGGCCAATCCACCTAACCTGCACATCTTTGGATTGTGGGAGGAAGCTGGAGCACCTGGAGGAAACCCACGCAGGCATGGGGAGAATGTGAAAACTCTACACAGGCAGTCACCCGAGGGTGGAACTGAATCCCTGGCACTGTGAGGCAGCAGTGCTAACCACTGAGCCACCGTGCTGCCACTTATCAGCCCAAGCCTTAACGTAATTCATTTCTTGTTGCAAATGGATGTGAGCTGCATCAGTGTCTAATGAGTCACAAACATTTTGAACAGTGTGCAAATATTAGCAAACAACTCCACTGTTGAACTTCTGTTGGAGGTAAGGTGATTAATGAAGTAGTTGAAGACAGTTGCAGCTCAGACACTACGCTGTGGAATTCCTTCAGTAATGTCTGGGGCAGAGATAACTGACCTCCAACAATCACAATGATCTTCCTTTATGGTATGTATGACCCCAATCAGTGGAAAGTTCCCCAATTCTGATTGACTACAGTTTTACTCATTTAAAAAAAAAATTAATTCATGAGATGGTGGTGTCGCTGGCTAGGCCAGCATTTATTGCCCACTCCAGAAAGAAGTTAAGAATCAATCACATTGCTGTGGGTCCAGAGTCACACATACACCAGACCAGGTAAGGATATTTCCTTCCCCAAAGGACATTAGTGAACCAGATAGGTTTTCCTGACAATCAACAATGGATTCATGGTCATCATTAGACTCCAGATTTTTACTGAATTCAAATGTTATCATCTGCCATGATGGGATTTGAACCCATGTCGCCAGAATATTAGCTGAGTCTTTGGATTAACAGTCATGATAATACCACTAGGTATAATACAACCTCTTGATTTGCGGAGTTCTTGTGTTGGTTGCTTTTACTGAAGACGTTCTTTCCATATTGGGAGTACACCCCCAAAAAGGTCTGTCTCCATTCCTTGTCACCCCCTCTATCATGACTCCTCTCTCCTCCCCATAATGACATGAGAGCATCTAAGCTGAACCTGAACTCCAGGACTTTGAATCTGGGGACTACTTGTAGTTCCAATTCAGTCAAGTGCTGCAGGGATGACAGCTGATGGCCAATCAGATTGCCTGGCAGGACTTTGTCCCAAGAGAGTGTGTGAAGTTCCATCTCCAGACAATTATGCTCCAATAAATGGCTGTTGGACAGCTACTATCAGTGGTGAAGTGTTCTTCACTGACTCTTCAGGTAGCAGGGCAGGATACCAACTGTCCAAACAATCCTGTCTCGGATGCTTTATTATTCATAACAGTAATAGATATGAAATGTTGCTTGCTATTAGTTGCATTATTTTTCATAATTAACATTGAACTTTTACCAGTGTCTCAATACACCCAAACAGGGTATTATTTCAACTGAAAAGATGAGAGAGCAAAATGCAAGCTTTGATTACATACAGTGAGAGCGAAACCATTGTACAAAAGCATGTATCCTATGATTTCTTATCTCTCAGTGATGTTTTGTGTACGCAGAGGTCCAAAGCCATGGTCTGGATTTAATATCCGAATTCATGGGTACAGAACAGAGAAAATCACAGACTTAATAGCAGGGAGAGGAGCAGAAAATAATTTGCATATAATTAGCACCATGTTCACCTCAACAAAAACCGAAAACGACAAATCAATTTTTACGTTAAATCACTACACACCTTGTTAACAAAAAGATTTTAACTGGAAATTCTTATTATGTTAATTGGATATAGACAAGCTTACAATCAACAGTAGACACCATGTATAAACTATATAACTTCTGTTATTTTTCAATGTATCAATATTTAAAACGCACAAAACAACACTGTTTGTAAAGTTTTCCAGGGAAGTCTAGAAGCATGCAGAAAATCGTACGTAAGAAATATTTTAATCTGAATTCCAAGTTCTACTTAAAATAAAAGTGTGATTACTGACCTTGCCACCTACACAACCTCTGGTCTGAAGATTTCAGAAGCACTGTCCTTTTCAATAGTCTTGCTTCATTCTATTTCTGCAAACTTCGCCAACCTTACATCCATTCCAAAACCACATCTTTTAATTCTGACCTTGTTATTTTACCATCTTTCTCAGTCACCCCTATTTACCCAACCATCAGTGATGGCCCATTCAGTTGTCTCAGGTCTAACTTTCTGAAAAACTATCAGTATGTAATTCTTTGCCATTTAAAGACCTCCTCAAAACCTCTCTCTTTGATCAAGATTTGTCATCTGTCCTAAATTGTCTGTTCTGGCTCGGCATCTTTTTCCCTCGGGTTTTAACAAACTCATTTTACAAGTTTGATAGTCTCAATTACGATTTACTAATACCAATTCCTTCTACCAACAATAATAGCCAACATTTTAAAAGATACTTTCAGAAATAATTAAATACCTGACAAGAATTAAGGATTTCTTAATGAATTTAGAATGTGAGGCCAACCATGTCTTAATTCTTTAACAACAGAAATTGCTGGAGAAACTCAACAGGTCCAGCAGCATCTGTGAAGAGAAAACAGAGTTAATGTTTTGGGTCTAGTAACCTTATTTCAGACTGATTGTAGCTAGTTAAAGATTGGCATATATGCTGGCACATATACGGAGTTTCTCCAGAAATTTCTGCTTTTGATTCAGATTTCCAGCATCTGCAGTTCTTTGGTTTTCTTAATTCTAAGTTCTACTGACTGCCACAAATGGCCAGTCCACAGATATAGTATTTGATTACATGCAGCTATACTTACCAAGGATATTTTAATCCCTTCAACCATCAGTTTTAGCATTTCTTTCCGAAAAGTCTTCATGTTGTTGCTGGGTAGCATTGATGCACCTCCCTCAAAGCTTTGACCTGGAGGAGTCGATATTCTATCATGATGTAGATATTCAGATGTGCTCAATAAATCCAGAAAGTCAAGGTCAGGGTCTATATAAGCCACATGAAAGTCAAAATATATCAAACATTTTTAAAAAAAAAAATCACAACTGTGGAAATAAAAATTGAGCAATGAATAGACAGGTTTAGAGGGATATGGACCAAATGCAGGCAAATGGTACTAGTTTAGATTGGGAAACTTGGTTCGCGTGTACTAGTTGGACCAAAGGGTCTACTTCCATGCTGTATGACTCTTATGGTTATGTGGCAAAATGTCAATTAGTACATGAAACAGATTTTTTTCACTGCCTCAGTACTTAAAGCAGAATGATGGGCTATCTAGTTAGTGTACTACATGTTTCTTATTTAATCAACACAAAAGGTAAGGCACACCACTCTAAATTCATTGGTTGGGACAAATATACATTCTTGGGCTTTTAAGCATCAAGAGAAATCTGCGCTAAGTTCATTTTTATCCCATTGCATCTCATACTTGCATAACTCTGATCAGGATTTTTTTTTCCCCCTGGTAAGCTCAACTGTTTTATTTACTTTTGTGGGTTATTCAAAAGATTTATCACCCTGACTGAAAATATTTTTTTGATTATTTGTCCTAAACTGTCCATTCGCTAAATTTTAATTTTATGACTGTTCTTCCAAGGTCTACTGAAAGAACATTCTGGATTTACTTTCTTCCTATATCACTAATAATTGCTTCTGTATGGTAAAAATTCTATTTTTTTTTGGTCTGAGTTAAATATTAAAATTGTTAAATAAATGATATGTTATGATTTGGAAGGTGCTGTCAAAGGACCCTTGGTGAGTTGTTGAGTGCAACTCAACACACTGCTGTCACTGTAGATTGATGATAAAGGAAGTAAATATTGAAGGAGGTTGCTTCGTGCTGAATCGTGTTCAGCTTCACTCATCCAGATTAGTGGAGAGCTTTCCATCACACTCCTATCCCGTACCTTTGTAAATGACAGACAGGCTCTGGTCCGATTGTTACTGCTTATTGAGAACCCCCAAGAAGTATCAACAGCTATGCTGATACTATTCAACATCAAGAAACAATCATCTTGGAGATAGTCATTTGTTTGCTTGTGGGGCATCAATAGTACTTTCCACTCATCAGCCTAAGTGTCAATATTGTCCAGGTTTTGCTGCATTTGCACATGGACCATGGACTGCTCCAGTACCTGGGCAGCACAAATGATGTTGAACATGGCAATGTCAGTGAACATCTCAACCTCAGACCTTATGACGGAGGGAAGGTTATTGATGAAGCAGCCGAGATGGTTGGGCTGAAGGTACTATCCTGAGAACCTCCTGCAGCATTGTCCTGGGACTGAAATGACTGATCTTTAATTATCGTCCTTTATGCCAGGTATGAATCCAAACAGCACAATATTTTCCCATCTAATCCCATTGACCCCATCTTTGCTGGGTCTCCTTGATGCCATATTTGGTCAAATGCTGCTTTGACATCAAGGGCAATCAATTTCACATCCCCTTGAGTTTTACTCATTTGTCCATATTTGGTGCATGGCTAGGATAAGGTCAGGAACTGAGTCAACCAGCAAGAGACCAACTAAACATCAATGAACAGGTTTATTATTAAGTGCCTCTTGGTAGAATTGGCGATGACACTTTTTATCACTCTGCTAATGATTGAAAATAGATTTACTGAATCAAGTGGGATGCTTTCTCCTGGATGGTGTCACGTTTGTCAAATATTTTTGGAGCTGCACTCATCAGACAAGTGGGGAGTATTTCATCATAAACCCAATTTGTGCCTTGAAGATGGGGGACAGGCTTTGGAGAGGCTCTTTTAGGAAATGAGCACTGCCTGGCACTCATGTGATTCAAATTTTATTTGCCTAGATATTGTCAGGTTTTGTTGCATTTAGATATAGATTACTTGAGTATATGTGGAGTCATGAATGGTGCTGAACATTGTGCAATCATCAGCAAACATTTCCACTTCTGACCATATGATGGAAAGAAGGTCACTGATGAAGCAGCCGAAGATGGTTGGACATATGACACAACCCCGATAAACTCCTACAGTGATGTCCTAAGCTTCAATAGCTCTGTGGTAAAGAATTCCACAGATTCATTACCTTTCAAAAGAAGGGATTTCCTCTCATCTGTCTTAAATGTGAAGTGCCTTACTTTGAGATTGCGTCCTCTGGTCCCACGACGGGGCAACAACTTTGCCAAATCAAACCTGGTAAGTCACCTAAGAATCATGTATGTTTCAATAAGATTGTCTCTCATTCTTCCAAACTCCATTGAGTAAAGGCCCAATCTACTCAACCTCTCCTGATAAGACAGTCCCTCCATACATGGTATCAGCCTAGTAAACCTTGTCTAGACTGCCTCCAATGCCAGCATATCTTTCCTTTGATAAATAACCCAAAGCTGTTCACATTATCTAACAGCGATCTGACTAGTCTTTGTACAGTTATAGCAAAATCTGCCTACTTTTATATTCCATTCCCTTTGAAATAAAGTCTTACATTCCATTTACTTTACCTATCACCTATTGAACTTGAATGCTAGCTTTTTGTGATTCTAGGACGAGGACTCGCAAATCCTTCAGTTCTGTACCTTTCTGCAGTTTTTCTCAATTGAAATAAAATTCAGCTCCTTTATTCTTCCTCCCAAAGTGCATAACCCTCACATTTTCCCATTCTATATTCCATCAGCCAAGTTTTTGCCCACTTGCTTAACCTGTTTATAACCCTCTGCAAACTGGGTCATCCCCATATATACTGTAAAGTATCATGGTCACAGCACTAATCTCTGACATCCACTAACTGCAGATTGCCATCCTGAAAACTGGACTTCTAATTCCAACTCCGACTTGTAGTAATTCACTAATCCTTTTTCCATGCTAATATACTACCTCAAAATCGTGTATTTATTTATTTATTATTCATTTATTTTACTTATTTTATTATGTAGTCTAATGTGTGATGCCTTTTCAAACACATTCTGAAAATATAAATATGTTACATTCACTGCTACCCCTTTATCTATCCTAACTTGTTACCTACTCAAAGAATTCCAGTAAATGTGTTGGGCATGATTCCCGCTTCATGAAGCCATGCTGGCTCTGCTTGATCTAAATCTATTTCTAGATGTTCTGCTACTACATCCTTTACAATACTCTTAACATTTTCTCAACAATAGTTACCTGCTTTTGTTTCCTTTCCTCTTTCAATACAGGTGTTATATTAGCACTACCAGTGCATCCACTCTCTGTAGCTACTTACTTTAATACCCAAGGATGCATCCCATCAGTTCCAATGGACTTGCTGGCCTTTAGCTCCACTAGTTTCCCTAGTATTTTTCCTCTATTGATAGTTATTGTCTTTATTTCCACTCATCCTCTTGCCACCTTGATTATTTAGCAATGTTGGAAAGCTATTAGTGTCTTCTACTATGCAGACTGATGAAAATTATTCATTCAGCTCCTCTGCCATTTGTTACTGTCATAGGCAGATGCATTTGTCACAGGTAAACTGATGAGGGTGAGGTCAAGTATGCTTCTTCCAATAGTTGGCTCCCTCGCCATCTGCCAAAGGCCCAGTCTAGCAGCTAAGTTCTTTTCTGTTCAATCAGTCTTGTCAGCAGTGGTGCTCCCAAAGCATCTGGCAATGGGCATATACTCTGGTTTGAGGATTCAATGTGTGCCCTTGCCACTCTCTGTGCATCCTTTACGTGGTGCTCAACATCGGACAATTGATTCATTAGTTGGGCAGATGGGTGGCAGGCAGGCATGCGTGTGGTGGTGATGTCAGTAGGAGGTAATCAGCAGTTTTCCCTGCGTGCGTTTGATCTGAGACCTCACAGAATCCAAAATCAATGTTAAGGACTCTCAGGTCGGACTCCCTCCTGACTGTATATCATTGTGCTGCCATCTTTGTCAGTAGGATAGCACATACCCAGGGATGGTGGTTTCTGGGACATTGTCTATAAGGTTTCATTCAGGGAAAATGACTATATGAGGCGTGAAACACGTCTAGTCTGTGGGACAACACTTCCAACTTTAGCACAAACCCCCAGATGTTATTAGAGAGGACTTTGTTGGGTTAATAGGCTGTGCACTACTGTTGTTCCAGTGCATTGGTCAATGCTGATGGTCCGTCTGATTTCATTCCTTTTATGTGACACTATAGCAATTAGATATAACTGAGTGACTTGTTTGGCCATTTCAGAGGACGTTGAAAAGCTAGTCACATTGCTGTTGATCTGGAGTCGCATGTAGGCCAGACCCTGTGAGAATGGCAGAGTTTCCTTCCCTAAAAGATATCTGGGAACGAAATTTTTTTTTTTTTTTTTTTTTTTAAAAAATACTTGACTGATTTCGTGGTTACAATTAGATTAGCTTTTAAATTCCGGATTTATAAATTGAATTCAATTGCTGTGGTGGGATGTGAACTCATGTTCCCATAACAATAGCCTGGGTTTTGTTAGCAACTCCTTTGTCTGTCCAACTGTCTCTCTCTTTCTCTCTTTGGGCTCTATCCTTTCGTTTACTCCCTACCCCACCCACCTCCCTATTTTCTGCATATAAACTGACGTTTTCCCAGCCACCATCAGTTCTGAGGAAGGGTCACTGGACCCGAAACGTTAATGGTTTTCTCCTTCACAGATGCTGCCAGACCTGCTGAGCTTTTCCAGCAACTTCGTTTTTGTTCCTGGGTCTTTGGCCTGCTAACCACTACAACCACCACCACTACCTCCATTAATCTCCCAAATTAACTTTACAAATGCATGATTCGGTAATAGAATTAAGACAATTGTATAACTAAAGAGTGTTTGAAGGTGGGGAAAGATGTAGAAGGTTTTAGATTTTAGGACAATTTTCCCAAATTCAAGCCTGTAAGGCTGAAAGCTTTAAGTGGGAGGGGATTTCGACGTTTGAAAAAATTTAATTTATATGACATATTTCGTGACCATTGAAGATTTCGAAGTGTTAATGGCCAATGATGTACTTTTGAAGAGCTCACATTATTGCAAGGTATGAAATGTAGTAGCCAATTTGTATACTTGCAAGGTCAAAGAGACAGCAATATGAAAATGACCAGATAATCTTTATGTGATGTTGATCGAGATAAATATTGACCAGAATATTGGAAATAATTCCTCTACTCTTCTTCAAAATAGTTTATGGGATCTTTTACGTCCTCCAGATGGTCACATAGCACCTCCAACACTGCAATGCTTCTTCAGCACTGCAGTGAAGCATTGTCTTGTATTTTGTACTTAAGTTGTGGAATGAGACTTTAACACACAATCCTCCAATGCAGAAATTACCAACCAAGCCTCAACAAAACAGAAAAATACATGTAAAGACAATAAATCAAAAGATGAACTATATTGTGGGCCTGGTAAAGTCCAGAGATATGGAGGACAATCTTGTAATTAAGGATGCTTCGAAATCAATACGTCGGACAAGGGAGACCATGCAAGTTTGGCAACACAGTTGTGACAGATGAACAGGACTTAACATAGGATACGATTTATGGGGGGGGTGGGGTTTATGCTCAATGAAGGCATCAAAATTGATTCACAAGGTAGAATTGAGTGCGCAGTTGCAGTCACCACAGGAGTCACAGGTGACTTTGTAGAGTGATGTCGTAGGAAAAAAGTGGGTAAAAACCAGTTCTACCCAGGCAAAAGGAAATTACTGTAGATGCTGGAAATCTGAAGCAAATTACAGAAACAAAAAATGCTGGAATTTATCATCAGGTCAGGAAGCATCTGTGAAGACAGTAAGACAGTTAATGTTTTAGGCTGATGATCTTTCATCAGAGCTGGGAAATATTAAGAGATGTAATAGGTTTGAAGCAAGTAAGAGGAGGGAAGATAGGATAAAGAACAAAAGGGAGCGTCCGTGATAGGATATAATGTACAAATTAATGTGCTCAGGAATCTTGGCTCGGACTAGTTGGAATTGGGATAAGGGGAATGTAGGAGAAATGCTCCATGAGTAACATAATTAGTGTAAATGCTTGAACTGAATCACCAAAATGTCCAGTGACTTCCCTTCTAATGTTGCTATTCAAAATAAAAGAGACTCTCATCGGGTTTCTTCAATTAACTCAAAAATAATCCGTTTGTTATAAAACAAGACTAATTTTTGAAAGCAAGTGGCAAAACTGGTAAACAACTAAGAGAAAATCTGGAAATAGAATTATATCTTCTTTTAATCCCAAAATAAACATATTCATGCAACACAACTGGCTTAACTCTGCACAGATGATATTTAAAGGGATAAAGAAAATAAATACTCTTATTGGCCAATAGTTTGAAAAACAAAAGATAGAATTTGAAGAATTCTCAGTCCACTGGGTTTCTTGTTGGTGAATTTGAATTTTGACAGGTGTACCAATGGAAGATCTTCCAGAAAAGCTTTGGGATCGAAATTGGGCTGATTTTAAGTCTTTAGAATGTGGTCTTATTTCAGCTTTTCAAGGTTACCAGATAATCGAAATACTGAGTCGTGCAAACTTTACCAGGTTCCTAAATATTTCAAGGGGAGAGAGGAAGAGAGCGAGAGCGAGAGCCTTGCCTTTACTGCAAGTTTTAGAGTTTTGTTTAGCTTCATACTCCTTAAGTTTTTTGAAACCAACACCAACACCTGACAGGACTTCCAAGCAGCCATCAATAGTGTTTTCCAACCAGGTCTTCCACCATTAAGGGCAATAAATCCCATCTCTCATCAGCCTAAAAATTTTTCTTAGTTGTTTGCCAATGTCTTTCCCGACTTTCTGTAATCATCAGGTGGCTTACGTTAAGCTTTCGATCCTATTCCTTGGTAAAACTGTGTTTAATTCAGAAAGCGTTCAAACAGTTTTCAATCTTCCAACTTTTCACATGGTCCGTAAATATAGATACGTAGTCCTAACAATGGAGATCTAGAGCGGTCTAGCACTGACTGGCCTAGGCCTAGCTTGCAGCTTATTAAGGTGCTTAAGTGCTCTGCTAGTGTGACTGCAGGAACTTCTAAATGGCATACAAGTACAAAAACCATCCTTACATCTACCAATTTTTCATTTAAATCACTGCGGTTAAGCTCACCACATTGTTTCAGTAGATGGCCTAAAACTGGCTCAACTTCATCAATGAACTAGAAAGAGAAAAGCCATTCTGTACTGTAAATTCTCCTGTTGTGTTCAGTTTTGACTATGTAAGATTGTAAATAGATACACATGAATATTGTCACTTCAGAATTTGGGCTAGGGCAACACTGGAGTGTGGTACAAAGGTGTGCTGTCTTGGGACAAGATACATTAGAGTTTCAACAGGGTGCAGTGGAAATGGCTGGTAAGGAGATTGTTAGAGCTGGAAATGACATAAATGAGACATACATCTGCAGTGGGAAAAGTTGATAGAAGTGTTGTCCTTTGCAGGAGGTTTAAATATCTGCCTATTCCTTTGATGTTAAAATTCCATGGCATTATTTGCAGAGGCCTTTTTCCTTGACAACATCAACAAAAAAATTATTCGGTTTGCAGTATTTTGATGGTGTAAATCAGTTATACCTCCATAACAGCCACCAAATTCCAAAGTAATTATTTGCAAAATCATTTATAAAGTCATTGAGAAACTTGATTAAGTGTTATATAAATACAAGTGGCCTTAGTTGTGACACCCTTCATGAATAAATAATCTGTTAACACTTATTATCCTAGGTTCATATCAAAAATGGCTACTTGGTAAAAGGTCAGCTCAAACTGGAATCATCTTTGAGACAGGAGCGAAGAATATACAAAAAATATCAGATTAATGAGTTGCTTACCTTGATAAATTAGTCTGTTCACAGATAACACAGTGAGTCTCTGCAGTCTCTGGACAAACTCAGTCTCAGAAGCTCTCATAGAGTTCTCATGGCTCATCCTCCTCTGCATAAGCAATGATAGTTCATCGCTGGCTACGGATCGCATTTGCATCAGCAAGATATCGGATGCAGCAGCTGAAAATCTGCGAGGACCTGGCAAAGTGGATTTCAAATCAAATTCACCATCAAAAACACTTACATGCTTTTTTTTTTCAGAGAAGTATTACTTATTGTGGAAGACTGCCAAAAGATTCTAAAGAGCAGCGCACTTAGAAACACTAGCAAGCTCCAGTAACGATGAACCGAATTCCTGTAGGCAGTGAAAGCTTAAGATACCAGTCAAGAGCAACAGGAAGATTTGACTTGGCGAAACATTATTTAAACAGTCACTATTACAGATAGCTCTCATGTTATTATGTTCAAATTATCTTTACTAATTGTCAGTTTTGTTAGATGTCAAATGTTTTCACAAAAGGACAGTACTACTGTAGATATTAACAAATGCATTGCTCCTACGTGAAAACATAGCACTTGATTTCCAAGAAATTTTAAGCAGCAGCTGGCTAACAATGTAAGAAAATTGTATGTCTCCCAAACAACACTTTGTGTAGGCAAGAGAAAGTTTGATCTGCAGTGTCAAAAAAACCCAAAGAACTGTGAATGCTGGAAATTAGGGAAAAAAACCACAGAAATTGCTGGAAAAATTCAGCAAGCCCAGCAGCATCTGTACAGAGAAAGCAGAGTCAACACTTCAGGTCCAGTGAACCTTCTTCAGAATGTGTCACTGGGTCTGAAGTGTTGACTCTGCTTTCTCTCCACAGATGCTGCCAGGCTTGCTGAGTTTTTCCAGCAATTTCTGATTTGTAGTGTTGTTTGGGATGTAACATTTTGTTGCTGCTCTCGATAAATGGCATCTTTGTTAGTTGCAACAGAACTGTAAACAAATCAGTGCAAAGGCGAATCAAAACACTGATTTGATCTCAATATTGTAAACATAAAAACACCAGTAAGAATGTCAAAAAAATTCCCATTGCACTATTTCTACTTGTTACTTGAACTTATTGCTAACTTAAAACATTTTGAGACAAATTTCTTAGGTTTACAATATTGGGGATATAGTTTTTCTTCCAGAAATGCACATTTTGCAGTCTGCTGTTGAGACAAACATTTCAAAAAGAAATGTTTTTCAGGCACTGGAGTTGGAAGATCACTACTGCACCTGTTTCTGTAGGGAAAGTACAAGAAGTTGATCCAGTTGGGAATGGTAGGGGAGACTCCTGGTTTACTAAGCTGAAGCAATAGGTCATTGGAATGTGACCATACGAGGAGAAATGTCGTCTTGGCAGCCGTGGAATTATGGAATCTTTCAATGCAATTGAACCTTCATTGTGAGTAAGTACAAATAATGTAGAAATGCTTGCAGAGAAGCGCTACACAATGGCTAAACATGTACATTAACACAAGTTTGAAGTCAAAGAACCATGTTAACAATTTATGTTTCTATAAATGAGACAATGATCTTATGAATTTAATATTTTAAAATCAAATTCTCAGTAAATTGCAGTAATACACAATGTAGCAAAGTAACTAAACAAATATGCAATATCTGTTGGGGTATGTGTATCTGCCCGGAGGAAGGCTCCATTCTAAGAGAATAGTCATCATTTCAATCACTTTAGGTTTCTGAAGAGAAGAATTACATTAAACATAAATAAAAATAGGTCAGATAGTCCAACTGGTCTATGTACTACCCAAGCATAGGCATACATCAATGCACTGATGCTTCAGGTCCAAGAGGACAGATCTACCCAATTACAGTTTCTAGTCACAAAGTAACTGATTACAATTCAATTAAAATGTTGCAGCATACAATGAAAAAGACAACTCAAATATTCTACTGAAATAAACCTAATTTATATATGGACCTAAATGCGATGGTTACAAACGCATTGTTTTGTTAGTTATCATGTAGAGTTATAATAACCACCACTGGATAGTTACAGCACTCACCTGCAATACTCTTCCTTTTCTGGTGAATGGCGTGATGCTGTGTTGCAGGTAAATGGAAGGAGCTACTTATATCCTGAGCATCCTGATTGGCTGTGTCTTTTATAAATTCAATGGCACTCTGAAGGATCCGGAACTGAAGTGCAATAGCCAATTCTAAACAAGGGAAGATATGATTTTATTTATAATGCAGATTCAGGAGGAGACATCACAGATAAGACTTTGAATTGCTTTTAACAACTTTGAAAATCCCCTATTTATGTATGTCATCTTAACACTTCTTTCCTATTTATAATCATCTGTAAATCTGAAGAGGAGACACGGCTGGAGAGAGGAAGGAAGGAGAGCTATCCAACATTCTATCTCACCATTAATAATGGTCTCATTTCCTGTGATGGCATTATATCGATCTTCATGGACTGGCGTCTCCAATTAGTTAAAGCAACTGGCACTATTCTCCAGAGGAAAAGAATGCAGAAGGTCCATTCTGCAACATGTGCTCCATATTAATATGAAGATCCTGATTCACCCATAAAGATTCCTATTTCTGCCAAAAGAACGGGCATCAGATTCTCTACTTGGGATACAGTCGTTGGCAATAGGAATTTGCACCTGCTTTCAGTAGCACTTTGTTCATGTAAACATGGCTAACATTTCACTAATCTCATTGTCTCATCATACAAGCCTAAGCTAATCGGACTGCTAACTGGAACCCGGAGTATTTTAGATTGCCTAAAGAATCCCAAAATTGAGTGTTGCCTTTTCTACTTTAAAAGCACTTCTTTAGCTAGGCTCACAGGAAATCAATTTCACTGCACGTTGCTAAACCTTAGAGCTAACAGGAATCATGCATGTACTCTTTCAAGAGTCCAGTTACACTGTTGGGATTAAGGAGCTATTTTTAATAATGTCAATGTGGGAAACTGAATAAAAGCACTACAGAAGAGTTAAATTTAAAGTAGCTTTTGACTCATAACTATCTCCACAATGATGTATTTGGGAAAGGCAGACAAAACTAGGAAATACACAATAAACAGGATGCTATCGAGGTGGGTAGAGGAAGCGTGAGGCCTTAAAGTACATAACAAATCTTTGAAGATGGAAGGACAGGGAGATAACACAATAAAACATACGGAATACCTTCCTTTATTGAACAAGGTACAGAATACAAAGCAACACATAATGCTGAAACTGTAAAACACTGGTTAGGCCACAGGTGGATGTGTGTGTACATTTCTGGTTACCACATTATAGGAAGGATGCAATTATTCTGGACAGAGGAGATTTACAGGGGTGTTGCCAGAGCTTGGAAGTCACATTGATAAGGAAAGATTGGATAAACTAGAGTTGTTTTCCTTCGAATAGAGGAGGTGAAGGAGAGACTTAATTGAAATGTTCAAAATTATGAGGGGCCTAGACAGGGGGAACAGGAAAGACCTGTTTTCCCTTGTGGGGAGGTTAATTACCAGAGGAGAATGACTTAAGTTGATCGGTGGAATAATTAGAGGGGACATGTGGAAAAGCTTTTTTACCCAGATGGTGGTGAGTGTCTGCAGTTCTTTGCTTGGTGGTTTAGGCAGAAAACTGAACTGGAAGCTGGGATATTGAGCGAGTCCATCTTTCTGAAGTACAAGTGAACATCTCAAAGGAGCTCAATAAGCAGGCTTTATCCTTGGCAAGGAAGAGGATGAGAACTGCTGCCTATCCAGATGAAGAAGTTGATGTGGCTTAACAGAGCCGGAGGTGAAAATATTCAGTTTCGGTCCAATTATGCAAGAAAGTAAAGTCTCCCTGGCGTAGAAGCTGGGAAACAAGGAGTTCACCTGCAGCAACACATGGGTGGATTGATTCAAGGAAAGGATGGCATCACCTTCAGCATGGTAAGCAATGAGAGTGTGGTAGTTATAGCAGAAATGACAGGTGATTGCCTCCAAAATAATCTTCCCCACGTCTTGCACAAGTAAGTACCACAAGACTTTAAAATAAAATTAATTAATCTGCTCAGACATGTGATGATGCACCTCTGGAACAGGTAGGACTCGAACTCAGACCTTTTGGTCAAGAGGCAAGGACATTATCACTGCACCACAACAGCCCTTCCACAATTTATTTTTAAAATATGGATGAAACCAGAGTTTGTTTTATCAGCTTCTCCCAGAACACATTCTCATGTCTAAAGATGATAAATCCAACATGGAAAGTGAAGGCAAGGAACATATCATATGATCGGTGTCAACATGGATGGTGCTGAAAATCTGATGCTTCTTGTGATAGGAAATTCAAAAAGCCATGTGGCTTTACAAATATCAAAATACTATCCATGTAGTACTAGGGTGACAAAATTACTTGGATGACTTCCAGCATTTTTGAGGTAGGATCAGCAAAGTGAATGTACAGTGAAAGAAGAAGAATTTTATTACAGACAATTGTCCTACATCACTGACATTGCTGGTGTCAAGCTGATGCCTGCAACACCACAGTCAAGCTTAGCCAATGGATCAGCAGTGTGATTAGGAACCTGAAAGCTGTATACTTACAACAGTTATTTCTCAGATTACAGAGGCCATTGGTAACAGGAATGTATAATCCAGTTGTTCTAGCAGTCATGTTCATAATCAGCGGGGTGTGAAAAATAGCGATACAAGCCACAACTGCCAACTGCCTCCACTATACGGAGTTCAAACAGGTTACAACTACACAAGACGCCAAAAACAAGAAGTTGGTTGAGAACTACTAACTTGATGAGGCATTTTTCGCTGGTCTGAAGGAAGCTACAGATGGCTGGCATGGAAATTCTAGCAGAGAAAACCATTTTAACCCGTAGAGAGATGAACAATGCTGTATACTGCACAACAGAGCTGATAGATAATATAATCATAGGTGTACTATGTTCTTCAACTGGTGGTCAACGACTCTGAAAGAGTCTGATGAATGACTGCTCACCCATTTATCGGTGTCTCTCTGATACCACAAAGGTTGCTTTGGAATTTTTCACTGCAGTACAAAAACGGGCTTAACTGCTGTGATGACATAGTAAACCATATTGTATTTGTCCAAAGACAGCATGTTAAGCAGAAGACGACCACTACAGAGTTTTCCAGAACTAAATCCTGACATGTTTCGATGTAACGTTCCATCTTTGAACAACCCCAGGCCAGGTGAGGCCATGTCTCACCAATGTAAGGGGTGGAAAAAAAAAATTGAATAAAGGCATTTTTCTTACATTTACTACTTGACTGTACCTGCATTTATACATGTTATTTCGACACAGACTGCAGCTGTAGCCATATTACATTACACAGAAATTTGCTTGTGGGAACAGGACCTCTGATTATCATGAAGCTCAGTTTAACTTGAATTTGTGGTAAGATTACCTGCAATTTATCTCATTTTACAGATTTTTTTTTGTGTGACCAATTATTGCTTGCAATATCCCTTCAGTGTCACTTCAAGTTTTCCTTTAGAAAAATGTTTGTAGGTCTATTATTAATAAAATAAACATGAGATGGAGCTGGAAAAAATACAAGCTAAAATCAGTCTAATTGCTAAATTATTCTGTTTTATGAAAAAGAGTTTCATTGAATAAAAATTTATGTTCAGTTTAAAGTTTTAAGCACCTACCTTTTGTTTTTGCATCCTTGCTCTTCTGTAGGTATCCAAGCAGTGAGATTAAATCCTCTATTATGCGAAAATATGGTAAACCAGAAGAGCTGCAGGAATGGATGGTAATAGCAACTAGTAGTTGCTGAATATCACATAGTAGCAATTTGTACTCATTCACTGGAGTGCTACAATGGAAGAAAACGATGGGACGAAATTAACAAAACAGACAACTTGCATAAACAGGAACACGGTGAAAACTGCAATGTGCAAAATCTAAAATACAATATTAAAGTCTTTTAAAAATAATGGTCACAAATGAGATTGCCAAAATCGTAAAATTTGAAGAATAAATACTGAGCAGCAGACCAGAGACTTAGATATTGGTTTGAGAACAATCGGCAAAACACAATTGTTTAATTCTTACTTCAGGTAGACGTAAAACAGAATAAGAGCTGATCCAAAATAAATAAAGGAAACAGAACAATTTAAACAGATTTTCTGTTTACAATGATTACAGGATAATTATTTCACTTTGCAATTTATTAATCTATCACAATAACTTCCTTACCTATTCTCTAGTCCATTTAACGTTGCTAAGGTGTTAAACAAGACATATATTAAGCCATTGTCGAGCAGTATATCAGCTAACTTGGGACAGGCATTCAAAAGCTGGAGTAGGACACACAATTTATTGTGCACCAATGTATTTTCATACAGAGAGTTTTCAATGAGGCCAAGTACAGGAATAATGCACCTTTTACGAAATGGGTCGATGTGAGCTACAGCCTCTAGGTCCAACCTGTAAAAATCAAGAAACACAAGGCAAATTACTCAAGAGCTGAATTGCTCTGTAAAACTTATCAACTTGTTACTTGTATTTTCAGAAGTGTGCACTTATAAACCAATAATCTGTTAATAGCTGCAGATAAGTGCGACAATGGTTATTTTGTCCTTGGCTTTTTTGAAGAGAGGTTGTAAAGGCATAGGTGTTGAAGAGTCTAGTGAATAACTGTTTAACAATGGAAGGGGAGTGGCCAGTTCTCCCAGTTCAAACTTTTTCTAGGCAGCATCAGAGGAGTAGGAAAGTTGACGTTTTGGGTCGGGACCCTTCTTCTTTTATGAAGAAGTGTCCCGACCCGAAACGTCAACGTTCCTACTCCTCTGATGCTGCCTGGCCTGCTGTGTTCCTCCAGCTCCACACCGTGTTCTCTGACTCCAGCACTGGCAGTTCTTACAATCTCAGGATTTTTTTTCAGTTTTTTTTCTAGTTTTTTTTAAGCTGTAGCAGAAGTGTTGCTAGCTTCAGTGAAGGATTCCTCTAACTTTCACTGAATTCTCTTTCTGGATGCTGTTCCCTCCCCACTGGAAGAATCGGTGTTTGAATTTACCTTTTTGCCAAGGGGGTGTGTTTATGGGATGTTACTATATTGGAATAGTTAAATCAGTTAAGTTGCTGTAGCAGGTCGGTTAGGTTTCCAAAAGTTAAGTTACTCTAAATTCCACTTTCTTTTGTTCGTGTTTCAACAGTAGTGCTTAAATAAATTTTGTTTTGCTTAAAACTGAGTAGTTTGACCAGTTGCATCACACCTGGAACACCCACTTCACATCTGCCTTTGAAATAAGGAAAGGTTAGGGTCTAAGCTACCTTCTTAAAATATTTTGAAGGGTCTGCCCTGGTCCATAACAGCCTGGGGATTCGTCCAGGATAATCTTTTAATTCCAATTTGGGTTTAGGGTTGTTGGACTCAAAAGGAGGTGAGCGGTAGGTGTTAGTGTCTTTTGTTTCGGGTGTTGAATTTGGTTGATTTAAACAATGCTTTGTGTAGCAATGGCTGTTTCAGTCATTAAGAGTTTTCTGGGGTGGAAGAAGTGACTTTGGGGGTTTTACAAAAGGTGAGCAAGGAAAAACTGTTGGAATTGGCAGACAAGCTGGATTTGGGATTGCCTTTGTCGGAGTGAGAAAAGGAGAGAGGTAATTACAGCAACAGCTCAACATTTAAATTTGCTGGAAATGCCATTGGAATCTTTGGAAATGGCTAGAATTCAACTGCAGATGAAGCAGCTTGAACATGAAAGGGAGCCGAAACAGTCTGAATTACGGTTAAAAGAGGAGGAAAGAATCGGCCTAGCAGAACAAAAAGAAAAAGGAGAGGAAGGCCCTAGTAGAAGGAAGAAAGAGAGAGAGAGAAGAAAAGCAGCATGAGGGAGAGTCTGAACTTCAGAAGTTGGCAATTAGACAGGAAAGTTGACTTAAAAGGATGAAAGTGAAGGTAGAAGGTTAGGTTTAGTGAGGAAGATAGTGAGGATGAGCAAACCCATCGTAGCCAAAGGCCTGGTGAGGATCTCTTTAACATATCCAATCACTGCCTAAATTTGATGAGAAGGATGTAGAAACCTTTTTCATCTCGTTTGAGAAAGTAGCTAAACAAATGAAGTGGCTGCTGACCATGTGGGTTTTGTTGATCCAAACAAAGTTGATAGGTAGACCTAGTCATGTATTTGCATCACTATCAGAGGAGGTATCTGGGAGTATGACGAGGTGAAGAAGGCCACATTACGTGCATACGAGCTTGTGTTAGGATCTTACAGACATTTCAGGAATCTAAGGAGGGACACTCATCAACATACATGGAGTCTGAAAGGATTAAAACAAAGTAATTTTGATAGATGGATAAGGGCATTAAAAAAATCGATCGAACATATGATGCTCTTAGAGAGTCGATTATCTCAGAAGAGTTCAAAACTCACTTCCTGAGGTAGTGAGAACTCATGTGGAACAGCAGAGTTAAAATGGCAAGATTAGCAGCTGAAATTGATGATTATGAGTTGGTTCATAAATCAAAGTTTAGTGTCTGACATCAATTTCAATCTGAGAGGGACAGAAATTGGGGAAAAAAAGAGAAATCCTCAGGTGGTAAGGGAAAAGTAGATCTCATTGAAGATAATAAAGATAGTTCACCACAAGATAAAAAGGAAACCCATGAAGGGAAAAGACAAGTTAAAAAGATCAAGTGTTTTCACTGCAATAAAGTAGGCCACATGAAGTCACTGTGTTGGTGGGTTAGAAAAAGCAGTGGGAAGATGGATGTAGGAAAACAGGATAAGCCAGTGAATTTTGTTAAAGTGGTAAAGGAAAGCACAGTGGAGGCAAAAAAACTGCACCAGAATGTACAACATGGTCAGAGGTAGGTTGAGAAGGAAATGCCAAATCATCTTAAACCATTTACTTGTGAAGGTGAGGTTTACTTGCATAGGCCAGGAACAGCAGATAAAGAAGTCACAGTATTAAGTGATACTGGATCATGTCAATCTTTAATGCTGAGAGATGAGGAGATATGTAATTCAGAAGGACTACTGCCAGGAAAAGTGCGAGTACACAGAATTCATAGTGAGATGAGAAGTGCTCCATTATGTACAGTGAGATTGGAGTGTCCAGTGAGAAGTGGAGAAATGGTGATAGGAATACTGGAGAAACTCTCGGCTCCAGGAATACAATTTGTCCTTGGTAGAGATATTGCTGGATCACAGGTAGGAGTGCTGCCTACTGTGGTTGAAAAGCTAGTGGAAAATCAAGCAACTGAGGTATTACAGGAAGTATATTCTGGGAATTTTCCTGACTGTGATAACAAGGTCACAAAGCCACCAGTTGAAACAGGAGAAATCAAAGAATACGGATCAGGAGATTGAAGTGGAATTATCAGAGAACATGTTTGATTGAATGGTTGAGAAAAAACGAGACTACCAAGTGGATATTTTTCGCTCAGAGAAATTAACTGAATTACAACAGAAAGATGAAAACTGAAGCAATGTCAAAAAACATACACAGAAGAAGAATGAGTGTATTCCTGAATGCTATTTTAAAAATGATGTCTTGATGAGGAAATGGAGACCATCACACATTCAGGCAGATGAGAAATGGTCAGAGGTTCATTAAGTTGTATAACCGATGGTTTATAGAAAGGTGGTGTTGCAGGTAGTACATGAATTATCAGTAGGTCAGTTAGGGGTAAGAAAAGCTCAAGCCAAAACACAAAAACATTTTTACTAGCCTGGACTGCATAAAGATGTAGTTGAATTTTGCCAGATATGTCATACATGTCACCTTTAATACCTATTCCTGTATTTGAGGAAACTTTTTCAAGGGTCTTAATTGATTGCTTAGGACCCCTTCCTTAAATAAAAAGTAGGAATCAGTGTTGTTGAAAATAATGGACTTGCCCATTAGATTGTCAGAGGCCGTTCTGTTATGCAATATCACAGCTAAAAGGATTGTAGAAGAGTTACTCAAACTTTTCACTAGATACAGACTACCCAGAGACACAAACAAATCAAGGGTCAAATTTTACATCAAAATTATTCAGGGAAGTTATGGATAGCTTAGGCATAAAACTTTAAAGACTATGTTAAGGGCTTATAGTCAAGACTATCCAGATGACTGGGATAAGGGAATTCCATTTGTACTTTTTGCCATTAGGGATACACCAAATAAATCGACCAAATTTGGTCTGTTTGAGTTAGTTTTTGAGCATGAGATTAGAGGAGCACTGAAATTAATTAAGGAGAAATTAGTGAGTCAGAATTCAGAGACCACATTTGGACTATGTGTCAAATTTTAGGGAATGATTAAATAAAATGGGGGAGTTGGCTAGACAGCATTTAAAAATATCACAGCATATGATGAAACAGGAAGCAGGCAAGAAATCAAAAACTTGCAATTTTGCTAATGGAGATAAAGTGTTAGTGTTACTTCCAGTGATAGGTGAACCTTTAAAAGCAAGGTTTGTGGACCTTATCAAATCAAAAGGAGGTTGAATGAGGTGAATTATTTGATAAGGACTCCAGACATAAATAAATCTCTGCGTTATATGAATATGCTGAAAAGGTATTTTGAAAAGGAAGGAAAGCAAAAGGAGAATGTTTTACTGGTTACTCCACAGAGTGAAGAACCAAGTTCAGAGGGTTGAATTGGACATTCTACAAATTAAATTGGACAATGAGGAAGTTCTCAAAAATTGGGATAAACTATTGAGTTAGCTTCCAGAGGAAAATCAAAATGACCTGAAACAGTTATTACTATTGCATGGGGAGATATGTGGGAATAAGCTGGGAAGTACTGATTTAATTATGCATGATGTGGATATAAGAAATGCTGTTGCAATTAAGCAACATCCTTATAGACGTAACCCTCTAAAGTTGGCACAGGTTCAAAAAGACATTGAACACATGCTCCGAGACAATATAATCGAAGTGAGCTGCAGTGACTGGAGCACACCCATATTAATCGTGCCAAAACCAGATGATACCCAACGATTACGTGTAGACTATCACTAGGTCAATGCAGTTACAAAGTCTGATTCATATCCGATTCCACATTTGGAAGACTGTATTGAGAAGGTGGGACAAGCAACTTATATTTCTAAGTTGGACTCACTCCAGGGATACAGGCAGGTACCTTTATCCAAAAGAGCAAAGACAATTTCAGCTTTTGTGACACCAAATGGACTGTATCAATTTAAAGTTATGCTGTTTGGTATGAAAAATGCGCCAGCCACATTTCAAAGACTAACCAATAAAGTCATTTCTGCATTACCCAATTGTGTGGTATACATAGACGACATGGTGATTTTTAGTCACACATGGTAGGTACATTTGCAGCATTTACCAGAATTATTCAACCAACTTTGGGAGGCAGGCTTGGTTACAAGCCTGGCTAACAGTGAATTTGCCAAAACCCAAGTCACGTTTCTGGACCATGTTATTGGACATGGACAGATGGTCTCAGAGAATGTGAAAACAAAG